CGATGAGGTTGAACTGTTGCTTCGGGTCGCACTGGATTACAAAACCAACAAGCTACATTGTTGTTGTCATTATTTTCTGAGTGCGGCGCATGCGTGCTTTAACAAGAGGCGGGGCGATGACGCAAGCGTCTCGGATACATTACGGAGAGGCAGTAACCACGGAGCGGCATATACGGAGTTTTGAAATCTTTCCACTCTGGGACCTACTTTCAAAAATGTTCGTTTACACCCCCCCAAAACGCCGGCCTCGTATGGACGATACACTGGATTGATAAAGTATTTTTGCGTTTAGGCCTGAGCTTGACTTCGTGTGGACAGGGCCTTAAAGTCTATTCTCTGAGCCACAGGAAGCCAGTGCAGAGACCTGAGAACTGGACTAATATGGTCGTACTTCCTGGTTCTCGTCTAGACTCGAGCTTCAGTGTTTTGAATAAACTGCAGCTGTTTTAAAGCTTGTTTGGAGAGACCTGTGAGCAGCTGTTCCAGTGATCTAACCTACTGGAGACAAATGCGTGGATGTATGTATCTGTTGCAACACATCCATCTTTTTCTGTAACTATGACTGCATTGTCTCTGCAGATAAATAAATACATTTGTGTAATTATCTCATAAAAACCTGCACGTACAGTTCTGTAAAAATAACACTGATGGCTATAAACTAATAAATATTTAAAAAAGGAAATTTTTAAAAAGAGAGAAACAAAATCAAACTTCAGCCTAACCTCCTCTGATCCGCATCCTTTACTCTCGCCCTCTCCTTTAATCGCCGTCGTAATGATGTCACCTCTCGCCTGCGCTCGTGTTAGCTGTTAGCCGTTAGCGCGCCATCTGCCCGCTCATTACCGCCTGCGTCTCCCCTTTTGGCTAATGCTGCTAATATGGAAGACTAATGGAGATCTAATGGAGCCGTGAGCGGGAGAGCGAGCCAGCGTTTGTATGTGCCAGCAAGAGAGCGAAGGGGCGAGAGGGAGAGAGAGAGAGGGGGAGAGAGAGGGAGAGAGAGAGGGAGAGAGAGAGGGAGAGAGAGAGAGAGCGAAGGAGTGAGAGGGAGAGAGAGAGAGGGAGAGAGAGAGGAAGAGAGAGAGAGAGAGCAAAGGAGCGAGAGGGAGAGAGAGAGAGGACGAGAGAGAGGGAGAGAGAGAGGAAGAGAGAGAGGGAGAGCGAAGGAGTGAGAGGGAGAGAGAGAGAGAGCGAAGGAGTGAGAGGGAGAGAGAGAGAGGACGAGAGAGGGCGGCACGGTGGCTGAGTGGATAGCACTCTCGCCTCTCAGCAAGAAGGTCCTGGGTTCGAATCCCGGTTGGACCAGGGCCTTTCTGAGTGGAGTTTGCATGTTCTTCCCGTGTCTGCGTCGGTTTCCTCCGGGTGCTCCGGTTTCCCCTACCACTAAAAATATGTACAATAGGTCTGGCATGTGCCTCCTGTTCTGGCACCCCCACTCCCAAAAATAACAATTGTAAACCGCTTTGAGACTCCGATGTGCAGTGAAAAGGCGGTATATAAATAAAGATTACTTACTAAATAAAGATTACTTACGAGAGAGAGGGAGAGAGAGAGGGCGAACGAGAGAGAGAGAGAGAGATAAGGAAAGAGAGGGAGAGTGAGGGAAAGAGAGCCAGAGGGTGGGGGAAAGAGAGAGAGAGCAAGGTAGAGAGGAGGAAAGAGGGAGAAGGATGAGGAGAGGAGTGCGAATGACGGAGAGAAAAAGCAAAACGTACCGCTAATGTACCTAAAGTATTCTGGATACTGTCGTTTTGATGATTTCAGCTTTGGTTTTTCACATTACAGAGTGTGAGATCATTTCTTAAAGCTGAGGTACCGAACTTTCAATTTGGTTCCATCACGGACATGTTATTTTTGGGTCACATCTTTAGATCCGAGAGAGGACCACCTTCACTCAGCCAATCAGACGCTGAAGATAACATAACCGTTACACAACTCTTTCTGTCGGGACAAACAACATGGATTATTGACGAAAGAATAACAAGTTTGGGACCCACACAGTCAATCCATTAATCAACTTGTAGAGCGCCTTTCCTACACAAGGCAACACAAAGCGCCTCACAACCCACATCATATCAGGCATGAATTATCAAACATTTAAATCTACATAAACATAACAAATAATAATAATAAAAAATACACAATAAGAGCACAACAAATATTAAAAAAACATATAAATTAAAATCACACAAGTAGTTAAAAACCTTAAAACCAGACCCTTTGGACAGGTCCGGGTGTCTGCAATGGGAGAGAGAGCGTGAGAGTGTTGTCTGGGACGCCCCTCTTGAAGTCCCAGCGCAGACCCTCAGCCAATCCAACCTTGCACTCAAGAATTGTTAGAGCAAGGGAAGGAGTGCACACAATCCCATACCTGGGCACGTAACAATCACACATGGGATTAAAATCAGAGATAGCCGTAGTGCATTAAAAAGAGTAAAGATAAAATCATTCTGTTGTGTGCACAGCCAAACAGAACTTTTAACTTGGATTTGAGTAAGTAATGTTTATTTATATAGTGCATTTTACAGACCAGGGTCACCTAAAGTGCTTTACAATGTTCAGAGTTCATATATTGTTCCAATCCTTCCACACACGGTGATGACGGAAGCGAGTCCAGAACACACTGGACCATCAGCTCCATTCACTCTCTCATTTACATTCAGACCTATTTGCATGTTTTTAGTGGTAGGGGAAACCAGAGCACCCGGAGGAAACCTACGCAGACACAGGGAGAACATGCAAAGTCCACTCAGAAAGGCCCTGTTCCGACCGGGATTCGAACCCAGGACCTTCTTGCTGAGAGGCGAGAGTGCTATCCTCTCAGCCACCGTGCTTGAAAACTACCAGAGTAGACGCCTGTCTCACATTCTCAGGACGACACAGTGCCATTTTGTGGGACCTAAGAATGTAAAGAAATATTGGTTACTAAGAGCTTACGTACATTTTAAAAAGATTTGTTTTTACTGAAAAAAAAAAAAAAAACATTTAAAACACGCAGGTATACTTAGTACTTGAGGCTTTAGTTCTATTGCAAAAGCCAAAATACAGCGCGGCCTCGCTCTGGGCACCTGCAGAGGTCTCTTTGGTCTGGAGCTGAGCCGGAACAGCCCCAGGGACATTCTTCAGCTGCTTCTGAAAGGATAAAACACAAACATTCAACTGTCAACACGCTGGAGGAGCAGCGCACCGGGACCAGGCCTCCGCCGGGACAAAAGAACCAGTGCCTTTCACCTCACAACCACATCTCCATTCAAGGCACGAATGAGATTGTGCTTTTGTCTACTGTAAGGCTTTACATTTTCGCATCGTGAACACCATCGTGAAAATGTAATGTAACTTCAAATATTGTAATGAAATAAGAAAAGATAAGAGTGTTATTATTTGTCCCATGTCGGTGAATGGCACTGTGTCAGTCTTTATACACTTATGTTCGCTCTTCTCCTGATCTTCAGCCAGTGACAGTGACGTGAAACCTGGAGGAGATCTGTTTATATTATCTGCATCTATAATCCATCCATCCGCCCATTTTCTTCTGATTTATCCATTGCCGGGTCACGGCGGCAGCAGTCTGAGCACAGACTTCCATTTTGTATAATCTCTCATTTACTAAAAATATGTATTTTCTGTAAAAATATAAATGCATTTTCTATTGGTTTCTGAAAAAAGTGACTGAACAAACAAACTACTACTATTCACAAACTTCCTCCTCTCGAAGTGGAGTAGTGGCTCCACTCCAAGCTCCTTCTATGTGACTACATGTATCTGCATGTATCTACAATTTCATCTTTTCCCCAAAGCACATAACCCGAGGTCTGCCCCTCCATTGGCTCTGTACCCGATCGCCATGTGCCATGTTACAGAGACGTGTCAGAGCCCCACAACATCCAGAGGCTTAAGAGCCACGGATCTCATCCACTCCTTGCCATCGAGGAGGTCGCTAACAACCTCAGGGCTTCAACAATGGAGACGGAAGTATTCGCTCTAAGATCTTCAGCCTCTGCCTCCAAATTGGAGACATTCAAAAGTATTCCTTCTGCCCAACATTGTCCCCAGTCGAGGTCCGCAGCTCTCCACTCTCTGAGAACACTGTTGGCAAAGCACTGCTTCCTCTTCCTGAGGCATCGGACGGTTTGCCAGAATCTCTTTAAGGCCGATCGATAATAATGCTCCATGGACTCTCTGAACTCCTCCCAGTCTTGGGTTTTTGCTTCTGCAACAGCCCGGCACGGTTGGCCTGACGGTACTGGACATCAGTGCCCAGTGGGGCTCTGTACCACAGGGCCCAAGTCTTCCTTTCAGGCTGAGACCCCGGAGGCAAAGGCCCGCCACCAGGTGCTCGGCCACAAGCCCCAAACCAGACCCTGGCTCCAGGGTGGGGCGCCCATTGGCCAGCACAGATCGAACTGTCCATGTTTTGAGAATTCAACATGCAGTTTAATTGAAAAAGCCGAATGTAATTGAGCACATCCATCACCAGAATAATAACAATAAAGGTTTGAAACCAGCGTCAATTTCATTTTAATTTTGTTTATTTTAGAAATGCATAGTGCAATATTGTTGTTTGTTTATAACTTAAAAGATTGTATGTAAAATAAAGTTATAATTGGAAAATTTATTCTGGAAGTCTTCTTGCGACCTCCAGCTTTAGTGTCCCGTGGCTCCTTTGGGAACCTCCATCTAGATTATGTTTCAGTTTACAATGAACAAGAATCATGATGTGTATCTGTTTTTGTTTTTCTAAAGCATTGAAGCAGATATTTCGTCTAACTTACACGATCAAATTTGTCAAGAATGCTTCAGTAAAGAAATGCGGTGACTAAAAGCAGTGTACCTGTGTGACGTGTGTTAACGGCAGTCATTTTGAAGTGCTCTTTTCCTCATTGAGCGTTTGGATGTTGGAGGATGTGGGCGGAGCTCCTCAAATGGCCTCAGGCGACAATCTGTGCTGACAGACTCGAGGCCCTTCATTAACAGCTCTACGTGCACGCTCACATGCACGCTCACACAGCCTCGTGCACGCTCCCCACACCTCCCAGGAACAGCTGAGGCGTCACTGGAAGGGAGACAGAGGAGGAGGGGGCTGTCGGCACACCGGGACAGAACAGGAATAATGGCAGCTTCAGGACCATGAGTAGATTATTGTCTATCTTACAATATCCATGATTTCCGAACCCCGAGGCGTCACTCTCCATTCTTAGGGAAGCTGCTTCGAAGGCCACATATTCCATCCCCTTTTTTTTAACTCTATCCACGCCCCTTCTGTCCAATTTCTCCTTTTACAAACTTCAATGTCAGTAAGATTTGGGCCTTTCTCTGGTCATTTTTTTCTTCCAGCTGTGTGTTGGAAAACATTTCAATTAAATGTAGATAGTATTGTAAATAGCATAAAAGTAATTTCATGTATTTCTGGGGGTGTTTTTAATTTTATTCCCCAAAATCAAACATTGCATGCTAAAATAGCCACATTGTTGTAAACATGATTTCACTGGAGAGACTGACACAACTAGTTTGGTAAACTGTGTGAACATGATGTAGTAGTGTAAGACAGGGGTGTATCCAACTCATTTTGATTGGGCCAAATTTAAAAAGTAATCACTTGTTGGGGACTGAATAAAAGTGGATGAATTATAGTAATATGACTTAAAGTTTGGATGTCTCCTGGTAGATTTTCTTGAACAAGACAAATCCAGTAACTAGAAGAAAGATTGCAATTGCAGATTGATACGCTAATGCTTATTATTTTAATTAAAGGTTGAAGGGAGTGGCCTTTGACACGTGGTGAAAGGGTTCATCATAACCAGGTTTGAAACTATGAGCATTCAGAAAGAAGGGGCGGGGGAACGTGTGTGTTCCAGAAGTTCCTGATATTAATGTGGATGGAGCTAAAAACAACTCCAGGTCTCTGACGGATGAGGAACAATGTTGAAACATAGTTAAAAACTCAAAGCAGACTATTTCCTTCATGATCCATCTCCATCTTTGACCCAGGCGTCCTCAGTCCTGACCCGGGCGTCCTCAGTCCTGACCCGGGCGTCCTCCCGGTCTGTCTCCAGTCCCTGCGTCCTGCTCCATGTGATATTTATTTATGCCCTCTGAATGTGTGCCTCATTAGTAAACCATGATTCATATGTTTTCCAAGTGGAGATAACAAGTCATATTAATATCTCACTCGCCCCCCAAAAAAACATCTTTGAAAAAAAAACTTGCTAATGACGGCGTCTTTGGCTGCTGCTCGCTCCCGAAGTGACAAGTTGATTGGCTGTCAACAACTTTCTCTCTCTCACACAAACTCATTAACGCCAAATGTGGCGCAGGCAAAAAATAATCAGACAGACACAGTTATGGAGAGATGCAGACAGAAATGTCTGAATAACAAAGATGGAGAAGGTTGTAAATAAGATCCAAAGTCAGAAGTGTTTGCTGTTGGACAAGAACAAATGTAGAATGAGACTTACTTTGCAAAAACATGTTGAACCTCGTTACATCATAGTTTCACATCAACAACAAACCTGGAGTCAGTTCTAGTTCCATCCACACTAGAATCAATTCATCAACCTGTATTAGTAAAGCGCTTTTCCCAAACAAGCTGAAATCATAAACATTAAAATGTGGTTCATAAGCAGTTTGTATTCAGTTCATGATCCAGCAAGTGCTGTATGAGTATTAGTAAATAAATGAACTTTAAAGTCCTTTTGGAGGGTAATATCTACTGTGTGTAGTAAGTTATGTGTGCAGGTTGTGTTTGATTGTGTCTGATATATATCTGTAGGTTCTTCTATGATCTTTGAATGTAGATAATAAATGGATGCAATTTAGCTATTGTGCTAATTCCAGCATATTTATGTTGACGCTGTTTGCAGACACAGGCAAGGTGCACAGAGGACAGAGGTAAAGCACCTTGGGTGCTCAGTGTTAGTGAGTGAATGACGCATAGACTGTAAATATTAATGGACGTAGTCACTCCTATCTCCGCCGTTGAAACCAATGTGCCACCACTTTTTGTTTTCAAAATGGCCGAGGGGCAGGAAAATGTAAAAAATAAAAGCCCGGTATTTTACAGCCGTAGCCGCCCCACTTAAGCACAAAGTGTTCCCAAAGGTCTCCCACCAAAGTACTAACCAGGCTCTGCACTGCTTAGCTTCAGAGGTCAGAAAGGATCTAGCTTTCACTTGTAGGTATTGCCACTGATGGAATTTTAGTGTCTCTTGTCATTTTGAACTTTTTATCTTTTGAAATAGATAAAAAACTATCAGGAGATAGACAGACTAAGCTAGGACTAAAATCAGAACATTGTCTAATAAATAATCTAAACAAAACTTGAACATACATTTTTATGTAAGATTTTCTGCCCGTTGAACATAATTTTGGGGCTGTTAAAGTAAAAGTCGGTTACTTTTAAAAATTGTCGAGGGAATGACTTTTTTGAAAAGTCCAGAACCAGAACCAGAGCCTTGCTGCTTTCAGATTCCTTTCCAACCCGTCACATGTGAAACAGAAATAGTTTTGTTTGTAAAAATGTGACGGCTGTTCTCGTCGTTTGAATCCATTAGTGTTCGATGTTTCTGCAAAGTCATCGTCCCGGGCTTTTGTGGAAGAGTATTCAGTGTCAGCGGTGACCTCACGACAGACCAGCGAGTGGCACTGCTTTGTGGACATAGTGTAAAAGTAACTATTGCGTTATTTTTTGTTTCACGGTCAGAACAGGGCCTTTCTGAATGGAGTTTGCATGTTCTTCCTGTGTCTGCGTAAGTTTCCTAGGGGTTCTCCGGTTTCCCCTACCACTAAAAACATGTACGATAGGTCTGGCATGCGCCTCTTGCCCTGCTCCCATCTCTGTGTGGAGTGAGAAACAGATGCCCACAATTGTAAAGTGCTTCGTGACTCTGGTTTGTGAAAGGCGCTATATAAATAAATATTACTTACTTACTTACAGCGACTGAGATGGACCGTTCATTGTCTTGTGGAGTTTTGAGCGTGGCGGATCTGGTCGTTGGCTTCTTCCTGACCGTGCAACACATCTTCTCGGAGGGTGTTTGTGGCCTGTGGAATGTTGGTCCACTCCTCCTCAATGAATGTGGAATGTAAAACTGCTGGATGTTAGCAGAAACTGGACCCCACTGTCATATACGGCGATCCAGAGCATCCGCAATCACAAGTCAGCTGATTCCTCACGTGATAAGTTTGGAAAAAGGAGCATCCAGACAGAAGGGGCAGGGGTTATGCCGATTGATTGATGCCAGAAGTTCTTGAAAAACATTATTACCGCTCAAAGAAACAGCAGCAGCAGTATCAGCAGCAGCAGCAGCAGCAGTAGTAGCAGCAGCAGCAGCAGCAGCAGTAGCAGTAGCAGCAGCAGTAGCAGTAGCAGCAGCAGTAGCAGCAGCAGTAGCAGTAGCAGCAGCAGCAGCAGCAGTAGCAGCAGCAGCAGCAGTAGCAGCAGCAGTAGCAGTAGCAGCAGCAGCAGTAGCAGCAGCAGTAGCAGTAGCAGCAGCAGCAGCAGTAGCAGCAGAAGTAGCAGTAGCAGCAGCAGCAGCAGTAGCAGTAGCAGTAGCAGTAGCAGTAGCAGCAGCAGCGCAGTAGCAGTAGCAGCAGCAGTAGCAGCAGTAGCAGTAGCAGCAACAGCAGCAGCAGTATCAGCAGCAGCAGCAGCAGCAGTAGCAGTAGCAGCAGCAGCAGCAGTAGCAGCAGAAGTAGCAGTAGCAGCAGCAGCAGCAGCAGCAGTAGCAGCAGCAGTAGCAGTAGCAGCAGCAGCAGCAGTAGCAGCAGAAGTAGCAGTAGCAGCAGCAGCAGCAGCAGCAGTAGCAGCAGCAGTAGCAGTAGCAGCAGCAGCAGCAGTAGCAGCAGAAGTAGCAGTAGCAGCAGCAGCAGCAGCAGTAGCAGTAGCAGTAGCAGTAGCAGTAGCAGCAGTAGCAGTAGCAGCAGCAGTAGCAGCAGTAGCAGTAGCAGCAGCAGCAGCAGCAGTATCAGCAGCAGCAGCAGCAGCAGTAGTAGCAGCAGCAGCAGCAGCAGCAGCAGTAGCAGTAGCAGCAGCAGCAGCAGTAGCAGTAGCAGCAGCAGTAGCAGCAGCAGTAGCAGTAGCAGCAGCAGCAGCAGCAGTAGCAGTAGCAGCAGCAGTAGCAGCAGCAGTAGCAGTAGCAGCAGCAGTAGCAGCAGCAGTAGCAGTAGCAGCAGCAGCAGCAGTAGCAGCAGAAGTAGCAGTAGCAGCAGCAGCAGCAGTAGCAGTAGCAGTAGCAGTAGCAGCAGTAGCAGTAGCAGCAGCAGTAGCAGCAGTAGCAGTAGCAGCAACAGCAGCAGCAGTATCAGCAGCAGCAGAAGCAGCAGTAGTAGCAGCAGCAGCAGCAGCAGCAGTAGCAGTAGCAGCAGCAGTAGCAGTAGCAGCAGCAGTAGCAGCAGCAGCAGCAGTAGCAGCAGCAGCAGCAGTAGCAGTAGCAGTAGCAGTAGCAGTAGCAGCAGTAGCAGTAGCAGCAGCAGTAGCAGCAGTAGCAGTAGCAGCAGCAGTATCAGCAGCAGCAGCAGCAGCAGTAGTAGCAGCAGCAGCAGCAGCAGTAGCAGTAGCAGCAGCAGCAGTAGCAGTAGCAGCAGCAGTAGCAGCAGCAGTAGCAGTAGCAGCAGCAGCAGCAGCAGTAGCAGCAGCAGCAGTAGTAGCAGCAGCAGCAGTAGCAGTAGCAGCAGCAGTAGCAGCAGCAGTAGCAGTAGCAGCAGCAGCAGCAGTAGCAGCAGAAGTAGCAGTAGCAGCAGCAGCAGCAGTAGCAGTAGCAGTAGCAGTAGCAGCAGCAGTAGCAGCAGTAGCAGTAGCAGCAGCAGCAGCAGCAGTAGCAGTAGCAGCAGCAGTAGCAGTAGCAGCAGCAGTAGCAGCAGCAGCAGCAACAGTAGCAGCAGCAGTAGCAGCAGCAGCAGCAGTAGCAGCAGAAGTAGCAGTAGCAGTAGCAGTAGCAGTAGCAGCAGTAGCAGTAGCAGTAGCAGCAGTAGCAGTAGCAGCAGCAGTAGCAGCAGTAGCAGTAGCAGCAGCAGCAGCAGCAGTATCAGCAGCAGCAGCAGCAGCAGTAGTAGCAGCAGCAGCAGCAGCAGCAGTAGCAGTAGCAGCAGCAGCAGCAGCAGCAGTAGCAGTAGCAGCAGCAGCAGCAGCAGTAGCAGCAGCAGTAGCAGCAGCAGCAGTAGCAGTAGCAGCAGCAGTAGCAGCAGCAGTAGCAGTAGCAGCAGCAGAGCAGCAGCAGTAGCAGCAGCAGCAGCAGTAGCAGTAGCAGCAGCAGCAGCAGCAGAAGCAGCAGCAGCAGCAGCAGTATCAGCAGCAGCAGCAGCAGCAGCAGTAGCAGCAGCAGCAGCAGAAGCAGCAGCAGCAGCAGCATCAGCAGCAGCAGCAGCAGCAGCAGAAGCAGCAGCAGCAGCAGCAGCAGAAGCAGCAGCAGCAGCAGCAGTATCAGCAGCAGCAGCAGTATCAGCAGTAGCAGCAGCAGTAGCAGCAGCAGCAACAGCAGTATCAGCAGCAGCAGTAGCAGCAGCAGTAGCAGTATCAGCAGTAGCAGCAGCAGTAGCAGCAGTAGCAGCAGCAGTAGCAGCAGCAGTATCAGCAGTAGCAGCAGCAGTAGCAGCAGCAGCAACAGCAGTATCAGCAGCAGCAGTAGCAGCAGTATCAGCAGTATCAGCAGCAGTATCAGCAGTAGCAGCAGCAGTAGTGTTTACCTGAGGCTTGCTGCAGTCACACACACAGCGTCTCGATGCAGCAGGAGGTCGTTCAGGACTCTGGTCTGAGTTTCTTCTTCGTCTGGAAGACTCACGATGTGATCTCTCATCCTACAGCCCTGACACCAGCAGAAGGAACCATCAGACAGACACCCCTCTCCACTCTCTCTGGTCTCTCTCGCTCTCTCTCTGGGCTTTCTCTGGTCTCTCTATCTCTGGTGTCTCTCTCTGGTCTCTCTCTCTGGTCTCTCTCTCTGGTCTCTCTGGTGTCTCTCTCTGGTGTCTCTCTGGTCTCTCTCTGGTGTCTCTATCTGGTCTCTCTCTGGTGTCTCTCTGGTCTCTCTCTGGTGTCTCTCTCTGGTCTTTCTCTCTCTGGTGTCTCTATCTGGTCTCTCTCTGGTGTCTCTCTCTGGTCTTTCTCTCTCTGGTGTCTCTATCTGGTCTCTCTCTGGTGTCTCTCTCTGGTCTTTCTCTCTCTGGTGTCTCTATCTGGTCTCTCTCTGGTGTCTCTCTGGTCTCTCTCTGGTGTCTCTCTCTGGTCTTTCTCTCTCTGGTGTCTCTATCTGGTCTCTCTCTGGTGTCTCTCTGGTCTCTCTCTGGTGTCTCTCTCTGGTCTCTCTCTCTGGTGTCTCTCTGGTCTCTCTGGTGTCTCTCTCTGGTCTTTCTCTCTCTGGTGTCTCTATCTGGTCTCTCTCTGGTGTCTCTCTGGTCTCTCTCTCTGGTCTCTCTCTCTCTCTGGTGTCTCTATCTGGTCTCTCTCTGGTGTCTCTCTGGTGTCTCTCTCTGGTCTCTCTCTCTCTCTGGTGTCTCTATCTGGTCTCTCTCTGGTGTCTCTCTGGTGTCTCTCTCTGGTGTCTCTCTCTCTGGTCTTTCTCTGGTGTCTCTCTCTGGTCTCTCTCTCTGGTCTTTCTCTGGTGTCTCTCTCTCTGGTCTCTCTCTGGTGTCTCTCTCTCTGGTGTCTCTCTCTCTGGTCTCTCTCTCTGGTCTCTCTCTCTGGTCTCTCTCTCTGGTCTCTTTCTTTCTGGTGTCTCTCTCTCTGGTCTCTCTCTGGTGTCTCTCTCTCTGGTCTCTCTCTCTGGTCTCTCTCTCTCTGGTGTCTCTCTCGCTCTGGTCTCTCTCTCTGGTCTCTCTCTCTGGTCTCTCTCTCTCTGGTCTCTCACTGGTCTCTCTCTCTCTGGTGTCTCTCTCTCTGGTCTCTCTCTCTGGTCTCTCTCTGGTGTCTCTCTCTCTGGTGTCTCTCTCTCTGGTCTCTCTCTGGTCTTTCTCTCTGGTCTCTCTCTCTGGTCTCTTTCTTTCTGGTGTCTCTCTCTCTGGTCTCTCTCTCTGGTCTCTCTCTCTGGTCTCTCTCTCTCTGGTGTCTCTCTCGCTCTGGTCTCTCTCTCTGGTCTCTCTCTCTGGTCTCTCTCTCTCTGGTCTCTCACTCTGGTCTCTCTCTCTCTGGTGTCTCTCTCTCTGGTCTCTCTCTCTGGTCTCTCTCTCTCTGGTGTCTCTCTCTCTGGTCTCTCTCTCTCTGGTCTCTCTCTCTCTGGTCTCTCACTCTGGTCTCTCTCTCTCTGGTGTCTCTCTCTCTGGTCTCTCTCCCTGCTGTGACATAAACAGAGGGAGTTGTTCTGAGGCACGTACCTTGGGCATGGCGGTGGGGTCAAATCTGAGGACCCTTTGGCCACAGCAGGGGTACAGTCCCGTCCCGTGCCCACCCTTCTCCGCTGCCCCTGGGTACTGGACACTGTCGGGGTGGTACCGACACTGGGTCAGCTCGGAGCACACAAACACCTACCAAGAACATGATGTAACGTATTAGCAAGTCCGGGCAGTTCCACTCAAGAGAGGACTTTTCTCACTTTTGATTCTTGAATTTATGAATAATTAATATTCCCTTTTACCTGAAAGGCCACTAGTCCCTGTGCTCCTCTGATTCTGCAGTTATAGACAGCCATTTTTACACATATGTGGTCTGAGAGGAGCCTGCAAGGCCATGGATCTGAGCATGTTCCCACTTACGTTGTGGGGAGAGAGTATAGGGACTGGCCTCCTGCTGGGACTCTGAGGAGCACAGGGACTGGCCTCCTGCTGGGACTCTGAGGAGCACAGGGACTGGCCTCCTGCTGGGACTCTGAGGAGCACAAGGACTGGCCTCCTGCTGGGACTCTGAGGAGCACAGGGACTGGCCTCCTGCTGGGACTCTGAGGAGCACAGGGACTGGCCTCCTGCTGGGACTCTGAGGAGCACAAGGACTGGCCTCCTGCTGGGACTCTGAGGAGCACAAGGACTGGCCTCCTGCTGGGACTCTGAGGAGCACAAGGACTGGCCTCCTGCTGGGACTCTGAGGAGCACAGGGACTGGCCTCCTCAGATTGATCTATAACAACTTTATGACCTGTGTTTGGTTTGTTTTTAGCAAAGGGACGATGGTTGAGAAATATAAACTCACCTGTTGACACCTGGAGCAGGTGAGGTGGTTGATGGTCCCCCACAGTCTCCAATAAACCAGGACCCAGGACTTCAGCTCTTCAAACTGGTCCGACAGGAACTCGTGCACATCCCAGCTCTTCTGCCTGAAACAGTTAAGTGGTTGTGATGTCGCACACATGATTATTAATGTTACAGACGTGTCCCACAGAGAGTTACGGCTGTTGTTTGTTTGTGGTGGAGAGGAGACATAATCTGCAAAATTGTCAAAATCTCTCTGGTCTCTCTCTGGTCTCTCTCTGGTCTCTCTCTGGTCTCTCTCTGATCTCTCTCTGATCTCTCTCTGGTCTCTCTCTGGTCTCTCTCTGATCTCTCTCTGGTCTCTCTCTGGTCTCTCTCTGGTCTCTCTCTAGTCTCTCTCTAGTCTCTCTCTAGTCTCTCTCTAGTCTCTCTCTGGTCTCTCTCTGCTCTCTCTCTGCTCTCTCTCTGCTCTCTCTCTGCTCTCTCTCTGCTCTCTCTCTGCTCTCTCTCAGGTCTCTTTCTGGTCTCTCTCTGCTCTCTCTGGTCTCTCTCAGGTCTTTCTCAGGTCTCTCTCTGGTCTCTCTCTGCTCTCTCTGTTTTGACATTTGATATGAATGTCTTTGCTAGAGCCACAGTGAGGAGTTTTTTTTACATGTTACTGCCGACACAGGTCCAAACAACACAGCTATCTTTCTCACTGCTGTCCATTGGTGTACAGTGTGTGATGTCACATGCCTGCTGTGTGTGTAGATGATGTCCCCTCGCTGGTCCACGTTGATCTTGCCGGGGACACAGGGAATCTTCCTCTCTGTGTCTCTGGTCAGAAGTTTGCGACACAAACCACACCTGAAACACAGTCTTGATGTCACTGGTGTTTGTCTCTCTGGTCAGTCTCTGGTCTCTGATCGCTGGTTTCTAAGCTCTCATTTCTGTCTGTTTTTCCCTTTGGAATCTCTCTCTGGTGTTTGTCTCTCTAGTCTCTCCCTCTGGAGTACTGTTTTAGGTGTTTCTCTCTCTCTCCTTTCCTGGTCTCTCTATTGAGTCTCTCTCTGGTCTTTCCCTGGTCTCTCTCTCTTTGAGCTCTCTCTTTGGTCTCTCTCTGGTCTCTCTCTGGTCTCTCTCTGGTCTCTCTCTGGTCTCTCTCTGGTCTCTCTCTGGTCCCTCTCTGGTCCCTCTCTGGTCTCTCTCTGGTCTCTCTCTGGTCTGTCTCTGGGGTCACTCTGGTCTCTCTCTGGTCTCTCTCTGGACTCTCTCTGGTCACTCTCTCTGGTCTCTCTCTGGTCTCTCTGGTCTCTCTCTGGTCTCTCTCTGGTCTCTCTCTGGTCTCTCTGGTCTCTCTCTGGTCTCTCTTTGGTCTCTCTCTGCTCTCTCTCTGGTCTCTTTCTGGTCTCTCTGGTCTCTCTCTGGTCTCTCTCTGGTCTCTCTGGTCTCTCTCTGGTCACTCTCTCTGGTCTCTCTGGTCTCTCTCTGGTCTCTCTCACGTCTCTCTGGTCTCTCTGGTCTCTCTCTGGTCTCTCTCAGGTCTCTCTAGTCTCTCTCTGGTCTCTCTCTGGTCTCTCTCTGGTCTCTCTCAGGTCTCTCTGGTCTCTCTGGTCTCTCTCTGGTCTCTCTCTGGTCTCTCTCACGTCTCTCTGGTCTCTCTCTGGTCTGTCTCTGGTCTCTCTCTGGTCTGTCTCTGGGGTCACTCTGGTCTCTCTCTGGTCTCTCTCTGGTCTCTCTCTGGACTCTCTCTGGTCACTCTCTCTGGTCACTCTCTCTGGTCTCTCTCTGGTCTCTCTGGTCTCTCTCTGGTCTCTCTCTGGTCTCTCTCTGGTCTCTCTCTGGTCTCTCTCTGGTCTCTCTGGTCTCTCTCTCACCTGTAGAGAGTGGAGGCGTTCCCGGGTGAGTCCTTGTTCTGATGCAGTGGATCAAACAGACGCTCGATCTTCTTCTGAAACAGTTTACTACAAAAAACACAATCATATGTGTTCATTAGGACTGAGACGCACTAGACACATGCACCGGATGTTGACCGGTGATTTTCCACACAGCTACAACACTACAGGAGCAAATACTTTACAGAAAACTTGATCCTGGTGTTTATATATATATATATATATATTTGGTTACTAGGTTGTTGCTATGAGAGAATTTGGCTCTCTGATCTCTCTCTCTGGTCTCTCTCTCTGGTCTCTCTCTCTCTGGTCTTTCTTTCTGGCCTCGGGTCCCTCTCTCTGGTCTCACTTTCTGGTCTCTCACTGGTCTCTCACTGGTCTCTCTCTCTGATCTGTCTCTAATCTCTCTCTCTGGTCACCCTGGTCTCTTTCTCTGGTCTATCTTTTTGGCCTCTGGTCTCTCTCTCTGGTCTCTCTCTCTGGTACCGACCTCTTGAACTTGTCCTTCTTGTCCCGGATGTCGTCGGCCTCGTTGTGGCTGAAGTGGTCAGAGATGCGGGTTGCCAGGTTGGCGTTGATGCAGTTCATGTTGCAGGGAGTAGACACGATGGCGCTCATGTGTTTGTGGCAGTACTGGATACACTCTTCTACCTGCACACACACACACACACACACACATTAGTAAAAATTTAAAGCTAAAATACCAAAGACAACGACCTGAATGTCAGGACTCACCAAAGTGTCCATCTTCAGAAACTCAGAGGAGATCAAGATGGAGATCACGTTACTGGGTTCTGCATGAAACAAAGGAGACAACTTTTACTTGTGCCACAGCCCCTCTCCTCCTCTTCTCCTAACTCAGCAGGGGCTCTGGTCTCTTTCTGGTCCCACTCTGGTCTCTAACTAGTCTCTTTCTAGTCTCTCACTCTGATTTTTCTCTCTGGCCTCTCTCCCTGTTCTCTCTCTGGTCTCTCTCTGGTCCTTACCCACTCTCTGGCTTTCTCTCCTCTCTCCTCCCATGTTTCCTCCTCACCTCTCTCACCTGCCCCCTCCCCCCTTCCCCTCTCCCCCCTGCCTCCTCACCCAGACGGGGCTTGTCCCGGCCCTCTCCTGCAGAGTTCCTCCTGACGTAGGTCATGAGCCAGTGGAAGATGTGGACGTCACAGTGCACAGAGATATCGAGCTCGTCCCAGCGCTGAGTGTCCTCAGACAGATACTCAGAGAAGTATCTCATCTCCTTCAGCAGCAGCTCACGAGGACACAGGAAGTCCTGCTTCAGGCTCTTGGACTCGTCACACACGTGGATCACCATGTTGGGGCTGCCAGACACACACACACACATTAGCACACACACATACACATACACACTCAAAGACTGGGGTTGGTGGAAACAGGACTCTTTCCCTGAACTTCCTGACTCTGCTGCCCTCTGGTGGACACATGATGACATTATTGACTAAACACTACTGCAGAGCAAACACAGAGTTATTATGGATTTAAAGGTTGATTGGATACAAAGTCAGAGTCAAATAAACTCACTCCTTTGGTTTCTGTTGTTTCCCGTCCTCCTCGATGGTGACTCGCTTCTCCTTCTTTTCCACAGAACACGCTCTCCCAGAGATCGAAGGCTTACGGACCACTTAGGGGCAGACAAACACATACAGTCACCTTCAAGTTAAAGCTTCTTAATTTATCTTAATTCTTCTTAATTTGTTTTCTCATTATTTCTTATTATTTTTTACATTGTCTTTGTCAATTTAACTTCTGTGCATTTATTTGGACCATATTCCTGGGTTTATTTGCAGTTGTTATTTCCACTTGTTGTGCTTTTGTAAACTGAGGCCTACTGGGGTTAGAGGTCCCAGTATACTTCACCCAATAAGAGATAGGGGGAGGAACTCAGTCACAAGGGAGGAGCTTGAAATAGAGCCACTGCTCCCTTAAAGCTAGGATAAGGAGTAGAGTAGAGCAGCCATTCCCAAACTCAGTAACACCGAGGCCCCCTTAAAAATCTGACGGGTCTGCGTGGCCCCCCAAAATAATAACCAAGAAGACAACATTAAGAATAGGCTCTTCTGGTTATTTTATTTTGGGGAAATAGCCTCTGCTACAAACATTGTAATACAAAAATGATTACAGTGGATTATTCAAGTCAAATAATGAACACAAATATTTTAATATTACAAACAAAACATTATAAATTTAACATTAAATATATATATATATTTTTTATGACCTCCCGCGGCCCCCCTGCAGTACCCTCGCGGCCCACCAGGGGGCCGCGGACCCCACTTTGGGAGACACTGGAGTAGAGCATAGCAGAGTACGGCCAAGTAGGGCCGGTTGGAAAAGGGGCTACTGTGACATTTGAAGGGCTTTTAATACTTTCTGAATGTCTTTTTGTCTATCTCTCTGTGGGATTTTCCTCCTCTTCTTCTCTTTCTGTGTGGATCTCTCTGAGTGTGAGACCTCTCTACTCATCTCTCCTCTTCCTCTACTCTCTCTGTGTGTTTGCTCTTGCCTTGTCTCTCCTCCTCCTCTTCTCTCTCCGTGTGGATCTCTCTCCTAGTCTCTCCTCCTCCTCTCCTTTCACTGTGTCCTCTCCACTCTCTTTGTGGATCTCTCTTTTCGTCTCTCCTCCTCGTCTCTTATCATACTTGTCTCTCCCTCCCCCACCTCTCCTCTCTCTGTGTGGATCTCTCTGAGTGTGAGACCTGTGTGCTTGCTCTCTTCTCGTCCCTCCTCCTCCTCTCCTCTCTCCGTGCTCCTGGTTCCTGCAGAGGAGCTGGTGTCTTCAGTCCTGCTGTGGCACTCGTGGCCTAAAGGTGGGATGGAGCCGGACTCCTTCAGCTCCTCAAACCTCAGCGCACACTGGAGGAGACACACACAGATGCAGAAGGAGGTCACAGTGTGTGGTGGGGGCATTGTGAAATGAAAGGCTCTGCATTTTGCACACACACTGACACCTGGCTCTGTCTCAGTGAAACTTGTGACAGTCTGGTTTTTACAATGTTGTCTGTTACAGCAGCACACACATGCACACACGGATCAACACATCAGTCCTGTCTTCACTGTCAGCAGCTGAACCCAGGAGCAGAGAAAAGTTCTTACAATATTCTACAGACTTCACTCTGGACACAAACACAGTGAACACATGGCTGTCTGTGTCTGATGAAAACAGAAGAGCGACAGTTATGAGTGAACAGCAGAAATATCTAGATAATCAGGACAGATTAAGTGGGTTGCTCCAGGTCCTGAGCAGAGAGTGATGGGTTGCTGTTACTGGGAGGTGGAGTGAAGCTTGGAGTTGGTTTTGTCCTTTTACGACAAACATGAGGCTGATCTACAGAGAAGAGACCACCTTCTCTCAGCCGCTTCACGCTGGACTCGAGTTTTACTGGGCTGATCCTTGAGACACTGCACATTTCTATAAACTCGAGTAACAGCCTCGTTTTCCACAGTTTGGGATCAATCTGAGCTTTTCTTAAACTGCATTTTTGCACACACTAGACTCATTCTAATGTGGGGGCAGTGTCTTGCCTAAGGATACAGCGACAGTTTGGCACTTTACAGCCGAAGCCGCCCACTGTGGCACCTGGTGATTCCAGAGGTCTCCCATCACACAGTACAAACCAGGCCCTGCCCCGCTCCAAGGCCTGACGGGATATTGGCCACTCGCTATGGAACAATGGCTCCTATGTGTTTATGTTATTATTGCAGTTCCTATGTTTGATTTTTTTGATTCTCTGATTTGTGCTTGTTGAAGTGATAACTACGGCTGTTGTAGCTCAGGACGATACGCATTGAAACCTGCTGTTACCTCCTTGGAAGTGAAACCAGGCACCAGTTTGGCCACATTGTCCCAGTGGATCGGCTGAGGGACCCCCCACAGAGACCCCAGAACCAGGTCCAACACCAGGGCGTGGTTATCGCACGGGAAGTTATTGTTGTCCGAGCTGAATCGCCGCATTTCTGGAAAACACAACAGCGTTCCTCTCATAAACGTCTTTTTCAGAACTGGAAACAATACAGTATACAGCGGACATTTGTATGAATCTAAACAATAATAAACGCAGGAAAGCAACCAAAAACCTCTCAAATAATATAATAATAATAATAATCAAAACAATAATAATACGGTAATAGGTTTATATCTGTGTTTATTTTGATATCCAGCTGCTCAAACACAGCTAATCTCCCTGGAGTCAAACAAAATGAATCAAAAGTATTATTCAATAAATTATAAATACATTTGTTGGAGCCATTTTGGCAGTAGTCTTCTGTATGTACTCTTTGCCTTGCTGTGTCGTGTGGAGGTATACATCTTTTCACCGTTATCTTTCACCTTTGTTAAAGAACTGTGAGATATGTGTATTTGGATGTCTGTAAATGTAAATAAATAATTGAGAAACATTGTATTTTTGCTCTATTTGATGGTGTGAGACCAACACACTGCATCCAGAGGACCTTGCACTGGGAAAGCTTTGGCTGCTTCACAATTACTAAAACCCGAAAGAACATGTCGCCGATTTTGGAGTTTGTGTTATCACTTCTAATTCGAGTGAATGAGTTGGCGTAAAAATAATAGTTTTTTCATGTGATTGTTTTGAATGAAAATGCTACAACTCAAACAGGTTAAGGAACACTGTTTAGACAAAATTGAAAATAGAAAACGTAATTAAAGCTGGTTATTATCATCAATACTTATCTACATATGTGTACAAACTGAATAACTGATCAGCAGTACTGTGCAATACAAGGGGTGTCAACAGTTTAAATTGAAATGAAGTAATTTTTGTTTAGAAAAATGTATAATTCCAACACCAGCTATAACAGCTCTATATATGCTGATAACTTTATTTTGCATAACCCCAAAAAAAACCTTTCAAATGATAAAGGTCTACTTTAACACGTCCCTTTGCCATTCTTGCATTCATAAAGAGTTAATAACAGGTGGTCTATGGTGGAGGTCAAATATAGCTGCAATCATCATGACATTTCAATGCAAAGACACGGATAAATGTGTTCTTATGAATATGATTAGTCTCACTACAGTCTGCAGCCCATAAACCCCCGGTCTGCCGCAGAGACAGGCCGGTCATGAAGCCCCCGTCCTGGGCATCCTCTGCGCCATGCCCCGCTCCGCCTCCCCGGTAGATCCATGGGGGCACCAGCTGCTTGTGGATAGCAGTGTTTCTATGAGCTTTCGTAAATAACTGCAGAAAAGTCAGGCAGACTCACCGCAGCCTGGGGTGTTGTTATACTGCTATAATCCAGCGCAGTTTGGAGTCATATTGTGACGAAATGAGTGGTGCTGATGCGGGGCTAATGCTAATGCTAACAGCTGATGCGGCTTTCAAGGGCTCTACGGAAATAACAGCGTTCTAGTTTCTACCGCAGTTTTTATATATTTACTGCGGAGCAAACACAGAGTTATTATGGAGTTAAAGTTTTATTGGACACATAGTTAATAAAACTTTATATAGATATAAACAAGTTTATGAAATAGATATTAATGGTTGGTAGTGATAAGTTCTGTCACTCAAATAAAAAAACACACTTTAGGATGTTACATTACGGAATAAAACAGAATGGTGAACCAGACCTAGTGTTTATATATGATCTAAAATTATAACCATAGTTATAACGTAAATGTAATACTTGCCACACATGAGAGAACGGAAAAAGTCTGATGTTGTGATGTTACTGTTGCCTAGCGACGGTGGATCAACGGTGGAAACAAAGTCCTATATTTGTAACACATTTTTAAAATTACATTTTCATTCATTAAAATCTGATCCTTTAACCTCCGAGAATGAGTTATCATACATGTGTGGAGTGCTAGCCGTGCTTCTAAGTTCATCATAACAGGTGTGGAGTGGTTAACCATGCTTCTAAGCGCAGTTTTACCTTATAGATCCATGAGTATTACAGGTGCAGAAAGGTTGGTGGTGTTCTTTATCATATTCATATCAGAGGTGATGGAGGAATGAAACCAGAAATCTTACATTTTGTAAAGATTTATTTTCAAAATATAATACTATGTACAACACGGAAATGTGACATGTTAAAACTATACAGTCAGCAGCGATGGCTCCTCTCTCTCCGCTCATTTTGTCAAGGGCTAATGTAGAGATGAGACCAATGTGTGGACTTGTTTTGTGTTAGCCTCCATTAGCCTCCAGAGGGCGCTCTAAAGCATGGCAAGGCAGACATTAGATTCTTTAAAACAATAATAATTCCGTTTGAAGACTGAGAGGTCTACATGTATTTTTATAACATAATAATTGAGAAATATAGCTTTGTTGTTTTACACCGTTTAATTCCTCGACTTGTCCGGTGTACACCGGGGTTCTTTTGGACATGTTTTCCAATGTGGTTGTACTGCAAATGGCAAATAAAATTAATCTGAATCTTTAAATGAAGCCATTGTAGCCATAACCTCTTACCATCAATATTTGCCATTTAACCCCTGTAACAAACAATGATTCCAACATTATTGTCAGATAACAGTTGCGACTGGTCATTCCCACACTGGTCATAACTCATCCTTCTCCTGTATGTTTATGACTGAGCTGGAGCTGGGGGCCTCTCCGTAGACCTGCTCCAGCTGCTCCTCCAGGTGCACCAGGCTGTGGGGGGCAATCAGAGTGACGGGTGGGGGGGCAGTCAGAAGAACAGGTGGAGAGGGGGTTTGTGCTGCAGTGTTGGGCGTGGCTTCTGTGGGGGCGTGTCTTCGGCCTCTGCGTTTCCCCAGGACTTTCACATAGTTTGAGGGAACGAGCCCCGAGGTCTGAGCGTCCACTGAGGCCAGGAGCCAGCCACGCACTCTGGGCTGCAGCTCTGCAAACACACACACACACACATACACACAAGGAGTTACTACTGCAGTAATAGTAGTAGTAGTTGTAATATCAGTAGCAGCAGCAGTAGTAGTAGCAAAAGTGGTAGCAGTAGTGGTAGTGGTACTTGTAGTAGTAGCAGCAGCAGTATTATCATTATTATCTTTATTTTTCAGACTCGAAGTCCATAAAACACAAAGACCACATCACAAAAACACAGTAGTAGTAGTGACCCAGGCCTGACCTTTAGGAGCCAGGTGGAGCAGGTCTCCCGCTCTCACAGAGATCTCCTCGTCTGAAGCAGCAGTGAAGTCAAACTCTGCTCTGGCCACGACATGATCGTCCTCTCCACTCGCCCACTGCGACTCTGAGGACCAGAAAAACTACTGCATGTACTCTAGGAAATACTGCATGTAGAGACCAGAGAGAGACCAAGGAGAGACCAGAGAGAGACCAGAGAGAGACCAAGGAGAGACCAGAGAGAGACCAAGGAGAGACCAGAGAGAGACCAGAGAGAGACCAGAGAGAGACCAAGGAGAGACCAGAGAGAGACCAGAGAGAGACCAGAGAGAGACCAAGGAGAGACCAGAGAGAGACCAAGGAGAGACCAGAGAGAGACCAGAGAGAGACCAGAGAGAGACCAGAGAGAGACCAGAGAGAGACCAGAGAGAGACCAGAGAGAGACCAGAGAGAGACCAGAGAGAGACCAGAGAGAGACCAAGGAGAGACCAGAGAGAGACCAGAGAGAGACCAGAGAGAGACCAAGGAGAGACCAGAGAAGACCAGAGAGAGACCAGAGAGAGACCAGAGAGAGACCAGAGAGAGACCAGAGAGAGACCAGAGAGAGACCAGAGACACAGATCTTATACAAATCTGGTTTCTAAGCTTCTATTGTATATTTTAAATTTGTTATGTTAAGTTAAAGTAGTACTAGAATTGAATATGCTGCTATCCAGAATATATAACTACAATATGTGTTTATAATATTTCGGGTGTTCGTTTTTACATGTTCAGATGAATTATGTTAAAAAAACGGCTTTTAAAGTGGTTCTCACCCCCGCTCCTCGGAGCTTTCGTTACTCACATTTCCTGTTCAAATCTTCCTCTAAATGGGCGTAGCCTGGAGGACTAAAGGGGGCGTGAACGAGACTGGGCCGTTTACATTGCTCTGGGCGGGGGGCTGCTGACGTCAGGTCCAACTTGCAGACGTCAGGTCCAACTTCTGTGCCAGTGTTGGCGCCAGATTCAAAATTCAAATGTAGTAATACAGGTTGCCAGCAGATGGCGCCTCACAGACGGGTTTAGGCAGAAAGTTTAACTTTCAACTAATTTGCACCAAAGTGACAAGATTATGACCAGGATATGTAGACAACACTATTGGACACTCATTTATACCGTTTATCAGCAAAAAAAAGTGGATTTGAGGGTGAGTTGTCCTTTAAGTGGCACCTTTGAAAAAACGCTAGGGGGGGGCGCAAAAATGGCAGCGATGACGTAGGAGAAGGCCATCTCACAGCAGCAGACAGCACTGTCATCTGAACAAGGTATAAACATATTTTCATCCGTTGTTTTTACATTATGCCAGTCTCACTTTGGTTGCCTTAGATTTATTTACCACAATATACATTGTAATATTCAAAAATGCTAATCAAAATAATATTTTACTTTTATGAACAAAAGGCTGCAGAAGTTGAAAACATAGACTAGCGTTACATGTGATGCAATCATTGATAAAAATGCTAATTACACCGTTAATAGGTGTTAGCATTTATGGATATTACAATGTACATTGTGGTAAATAAATCTAAGGCAACCAAAGTGAGACTGGCATAATGTAAAAACGAATATTAGCCTTGTTAGCATGTTTTATGATATCAAGTAGAGTTAGCTAACTTGCCCAACACTAATTAGCTTGAATCTCACAAATAAGGCTAAAAGGTTAAAAGAGTTGCACACTATTATGTACAAAACTGATGAAAATATGTTTATACCTTGTTCAGATGACAGTGAAACCTCCTACAGATTCAGCCCAGACTGCTGTCCTCTGCTGTGAGAGGCCCTTATCCTACGTCATCGCCGCCATTTTGGCGCCCCCTAGCGTTTCTATGCGGAAGTGAAAAGGTGCCACGTCAAAGCCGTTTTTTAACCTAATTCATCTGAACATGTCAAAATGAACACCCGAAATATTATAAACACATATTGTAGTTATATATTCTGGATAGCAGCATATTAAATTCTAGTACTACTTTAAGCTAGAGAAGCAGTTACATTTCTCATGATTAAATCATGGCGGGACCAGTTCAAACAGTCGTCTCTGCTACATTACAACTTGAAACCTGCGGCTTATATTCAGGTGCTTCCTATATGTGGACAACATGTTCTTTCTGCTCAAACGTGTCTGGTGCGGCTTGTATTCCAGAAAGTCCTGTAACAGTAATTTCCTGCTACACTTCACACTCTACCTGTTCTTTCTGTGTCCGTTGCGGCACTCAGCAGTTTCCAGATGAGAAAGGGACCTCCCAGGATCACGGCGAAGAACAGGAAGATGGGCCACGACTTGACAGGCGGCTCGTGCGTGCCTCCGACAGCAGCTCCGGCTAAGGCGTCGCTTGCGCTCTCAGCCCACAGGTCGTTGGCCTCGCAGTCCCCTCTCCTCCCCAGGAGGCGCTGCAGTCTTCTGTACAGGTACCGCAGTGTCCGCACCAGCGCAAACGCCGACAGCACGCGGGTCAAGTGTGCGCGCAGCCGGCTGAAGTGGTTGGCCACGTCCAGAACGGCACGGAAGCTGTTGTAGACGGCGGAAAACGTGGCCTCCATCATCATGCTGACGGAGGCGAACGCGTGCACAATACTTTCGATGGATTGGAAGGCGCCGCGGCTGCTCTCCTCGGCCTGAAGCACGAAGCGGCTGGGCGCCACCTCCTCAGGGCGCAGTGGCAAGCGGCCATATGCGCCCAAACCCGAGCCAAAGCCCGAGCCGAGGCCTGAGCCGAAGCCTGAACTGTAGCCGTAGGGGGAGTATCCAGAGGAGTACCCAGGGGAGTAGAAGGAGCTAGAGCCGTAGGGGGCGCTGTAGGAGGAGTACGCAGGGCGGTACGTCTGCGCAGCCGGTCGAGGAGGAAGAGGAGGAGCCACCCGCGTCAGCAAGGGGGGAGCAGGACCGGGGGCGGGAGGCAGAGAGGAGGCGAAGTCTGAAGATCTAGAGATAAAACCAAGAGAGAGGGTTACTGGGTTGATTTTAGATTAAAGATTAGAAAATGGATGGACGGGGAAATAAATAAGTCTTTTTAATGGGAACCATTTCTGTGTGCCATGTGAATATTTGCTTAAGTTAAAGTATAACGTTACTTCATTACAACACTTGCTAAAGTTAATAATTATTAACTTCTAGTACGCATTTAATAAACATCAAAAACTAAAATGAAGTAACTCAAACCGATGCAATGCTAAAAATTACGTATTTCAATGTATTTTTCTAGAGCTAAAAACAGATAAATAGTTTGTAAACAACGTATTAGCATTAGCTTTAGCATTAGCTAAAGCTCCAACACGAGAGTGGAAACCCCGCAGAAACAAGGCCCTATTCGTCTTTACCTGAAATTTACGGGCGCAGTCATGGCCCCGGGGATCAGCCTCTCCCACGGTTTTTGTGGAGCCCGAGAATCCATGAGAAAAAGGCTAAAAATGAACCAGAAAAATGAAAAAGTGACGAGTTCCGAGCGGTCACTTTGGACTCTCGCCTCACGTGTACTTCAGGGACAGCTCGGAATTTTAGAACAATGCTGGCAGCAACACAATGCTGCCAGCATTGTGTTGCTATATTTTAATGCTACGTTGTGTCCACTTTGTGCCATATAATTAAAGTTGGTTGAACTACAATCACTACACGAAATAAGAAAATACTATTCAAGGTGAACTTAATGTCTGAATTATTGGTTTGTAACAGTTCACACAATAGTTTTTTACACTGATACATAATAACATATGTATGGCCGATTTGGAGCAAGTGACAATGGCAGTGTTTTCCATTTGAGCAGAAGGAAGTGTCGAACTTCCTTGGTCCTTGGTATCGTTATCGAAGGCGTACGTTATTGAAACGGACTGAAGCTCTGTCGCATCGGCTTGTGCCCTACCTGCTCGGTTTGAACTAATCTTAATCTTGCTTACCCTAAAAACCTCTTTTACACTTTCCTAGCTTTCCAGAAAGTTTATGGAGCTGGATCCCTCAGAAAATGTCCTCTAAAGTTCACACACTCCTAGGAAAACTCAAAGTGCAGTTTAATGGTCCATCCTACGCCCTATGAAAAATGTTGTATGGCATTCAGTGTTTTAAATATTTTATAAAGTTACAGTGTTATTAAAAGTTTGAAAAAATAAGTACTTTTACTAATCTTCCAACACAGGAGAATTTTAAATTTCATTTAACGAAATTTTATTGTGCCATACAATCTGAAACCAAAGGATAAAGGAAAAGACCGTCTTAAAAGGTTCTTTTGATTTGACACATGTTAAGAAGCTGGAACTGGCTTCACTACCAAATGTTTCGCGGTTTACTTCCCCGCCTTCATCAAGGTGACCACGTGATGGTTGGGACGCGTTTTTTCTTTTATCAGCTGTTTTCTGGGGTACAACTACTCCAGAGACTCTACGCGGCGGTGACTCGCTCCAGTCTAACAAATCTGTGAGATCTGTCAGACTGGCCATATCAGCAACAGCTGATAAGAGACGCGTCCCACCATCACGTGACTCTGATGAAAAACGGAAGTAACCGCCGAAACATGTGGTAGTGAAGCAGTTACCAGCTTCTTTACATTTGTCATATCAAAAGTACTTTTAAGGCTTAAGCATAAGATAAAAAATACTTTTTATTTAAAAAATACTTTTATCTTTGAGCAAAAGACTGGTTTTCTTTTGTTGAATACTTATGAATGAACATCTTTACTTTCTACATCTGGTGTATTCAGTGTGTTAAGGGTTTTTTATAAGACTGTTTTTTAGAAGTTTAAAAATAAGCACTTTGAAATCCTCCTGTTTGGACTGATTGTTTTTTTTGGCACAGGACAGTCCTGATATGACTGCTACGTCATGAATATAGTCATGGAGGCTGTACAATGTTGAATTGAAATGTTTTGTCTTAAATTGACTTTTCAAATAAATAATTCACCGTACGACCTTATTTTACATCTTCCATTTCAAATTTACAAACAAGTTTTATGCTGTTTTAAAGCTGTGGTTGTCAGAACTACACACAAAATGAGTTTGTTTTGGTGCTATAGGACAAAATAGATTTCCATTTTGACCTTTGTTTTTCAGACTGTGGTACTCTGGCTTCTTCAGGTGATATAATACTGTTCATGTATATTTTCAATTAACTTATCGTAGCTACAACATGTATTTTTGGCAGATGACTGTTAAAAAACAAATGATCCAAAATAAGCGTTTGAATCGGATTGAGAATATTTTGGAGTGGGAAAGTAGCAACATTTTTAAGTTGGATTTAACTATAAAAATACTAATAAACATGTGAAATTTTACTTAAAAATAAAAAGGGAATGTTAAGTGTAATCTTTCAGAAAAAAATAATTACATTTTTATATATTTTTTTTTAAGTTGAAAAGAAAGTAACTATTTTAGAAACTTGAATGAATATTTAACTTTATCTGATTGAAAATACAAGTTTGGTTCAATGTAGAATATAAAAGTTGAAAAAACGTATTTACTAGTTGTTACCAATTGAAACATTTTTTTTAAGTTGGTTCAACACATTCTTTTTACAGTGGTGTCACAATATTATAAAAATGAAGAGGAATTTTAACACAGTTGAATTCACCAACAACCAGATCCGAGAATCAACATTTTGAATGAAGGAAATACAAAATTATAAATACGCACAGGAGCCCTTGGTGTAGGATCAATGTTAATAAATATCAATAAAATCTCCTGAATCATACCTGTCCCTTTGACCCTCCTGCATTGGAAGTGAGATTCAAAGGGCCCCCTACAAGTCACTTAAAATATTTAGTAAAATATAATTTGTAGCATTCTTTGAACCCATTTGTGAAGTAATAATTGTTGTGATGGATGTGTTATTGTTCAAACAAAAACTTTAGAGCAATACAACTGTAAAGCATGGGGTAATCTATTCAGCACATTAATGGTTTCAATCATGACAAACCTAAATGCTCAGAGCTATAGTCTGTTTTACTGTTTGCTGGTACAACGGCTAAAGCTTTGACAGAAAGGGCATCAGAAAAAATGAGTGGGTAAAATGGAATAAAGACACAAAACCAACCGTGAAGCCTGGTGTAATGACACCTACAACTCTAATTGTCCCGTTGCTTTTCAGGGTCTGCAGCCTTAACAGCTATCAACAGTCAGTTCAAGACAGGACAAGACGAAGGCCACTATCACTAAAACGGAGGCAATAACGCGCCACGCAACATCGGTGAGCTGTTCCCCACCTTAATTTTGTTTTAATTTGCCATAAACTTCATCCTCATCCTCACATGAATTAAGAAAAGGGGAACTGTGGGTGAGAAATGGGGGTGTTATAAGTCATAGCAGAAGAGGGAAAAAGAAAGAATAGGAGAGAGAGAGAGAGAGATACAGAGAGAGAGAGAATGAGTGGAGGTGAGGTGGGATTCGAAGGACACCAGAGTGCGACACATGCACATAATCTCTGCACAATGGGCCAACAGCACCACCATGTGGCCGAACGCAACTGCTGCTTCATTTTAGTGCACGGACGTATTCACATCTTTTTGAACTCAAAAAAACCAAGTCAGCATGAGTGAAAGTCACATTATCTGTTTCTCCCAATTATGACTCAACTAAGGAAAGTAGTGTTTCTGTTATTCCCCCCATTACCAAAGTGTTTACGTTTCATTTTTTGGATTGATTCACATTTCTGAATGATTTCTCAACAAAAGGAAATCTTTATACTGTCACTTTAACCTGCACTGTTACATGTCTAGTGTGTGTACTTCAGCTGTGTACTTCATCTGCACTAGTATTCAGTTTTTGTAAACATTTTATGATTTTTTCTTTATGCCACGCATCTATTTTACCTAGGCTCCTGGATTGTGATTTCCAGTTACTGTAATGCTTTAAAATAATTCTATTCCTGATTTTAAAAGAAAATAAAGGGCTTCACAAAAATGTAAATTTTCCAATCGTGAACAATTTATAACTGTCCTGTTCAAAAGGCATTTTGAATCATGTTCTCAGAAATATAAAGAACATAGTACAGAAAGTATGATACTTGATCCACGGTTTGTTTTCTTAAATTCCCTTAACTTATATACTATTATAAAAGGATACATGCAACCATTAAGAGGAACAGCTAGCATGACCTAGTCCTGGGTAAGGGTGAAAAAAAGTACTTTTACTAGAACTTTTTAGAACAAATGATAACAACATACATACATACAAATATATAACTACATTGCTAGTGATAGTTTTATAATGAACCAGCTTAAGAAGTTGCAAGGGTGGCATGGATCAAACTGGTAAGATAAGCACTGGCAGCCCACACACACATAACTTCCCCAATGTCGTCTTTCTCTGTTGCTTGTCTTAATGTAATATGTTTACATTTCTGCACCTGGTATTGTAACCCAAGTAAAACAAATAAAATAAGCTATTTAATAAGCAAACATAATAAAACAAGCATAATATATGGTGAATCCAAACAGTTATCTAAAGGGAGGATCTGAACCGGACCTATCTGGTCACTCCAGGGGGCCGTATAGCGCATTTGGTACGTGTCAACAGCTGACCTGCTTTTCCTCTCGTTCCCCTTGTTCCTTGTTGCAGTGTAAAACCATTTAACTTTGGACCGGAACAAGTATTCACTTGTGGGGGAAAAGATTGCGGTTCCCAAGTTTAAATCAATCACATCGCCTTTGGAAATGCCCATCTCTAATGTGCACCGTGGGCTTACACTGTCTTCACGTTAGCTCTGCAGCTCTCAACGCGATGGCAACAAAAGCCCTGTGCACTGGACAAAGACCAGTCAAACGTGTGTTGAAATGATCCATTTTCAAGTACTTCAGTACATATCCGTTTATTTTTCTGTTGAAGATTGATAATATAATATTTTTAAAACTCTGTTTGCTTGATTCAGCTACAATGTTAAACAAATGGGTGCCAGACTCAGTCCCAGGCAGGTGAGAGGTATCATGCCATTGTTTGTTACAATGCGAATGTTAATGTCCATTTTCTCCACTTTTCCATGCCGGGTCTAAATCAGTCCAAGCAGAGACCCCCAGACTTCTCTATGCACACACATCTCAATACAGTACTCTCTGGACTAATTTGGTGCACCTGTATTAAAACAACAAAGAAATCAATTTTTCCCACATATAGACAAGCACTTGTTTTTTCTGTTGTCATGAAACACTCAAAACTCTTGTCCCTGTAAGAGAATGGATCCTATGTTTTTTTCAGTATAAAAGTGGAAACCCAGAGCCCCCAGAGAAACCAACAAAGACATGGTGAGAACATGCAGGCCAAGGGCCACTCAGAAAGGACATGTACCAATTGGGATTTGAACCCATGATCTTCTTGTTGAGAAGCATGAGACCTAATCTCTCACACCATGAAATCCGATAGAGAATACATTTTAAAACTGAACACAACATGATTTAAAGACAAGGTATTTTAATGC